ATGTAAGAATGTTAGCTATACCTTTAAGTGAAAAGTGTTGAAGGTTTTGCTATTCTTCATTTGTTTGTTATTTCTGATTTTTGAGATACTGAAAAGGGGTTGACTCCAGTGTGGTCTGTGGCCATACTTCTTCCCAGTTCCTCCCACTCCCTCAACTTACATAGTTTTGCACTTTAAATACTAATTTCGGATGAAGACAAAAATGCCTTTTCTGCTTTGGACTTCAGTGCTTTTTCTGTTAGGTTGTTGGTTCAGAGGCTGTACTAAGAACCTATTCCTTGTGAAATCCTTGACCATCAATCATATTTTGTACCTGAAGCAGTATGCCTGAAGCCTGAGGGGGCGGGGGACAGAGCAGGACCAACCACCCCACCTGAAGCCTGAGGTGGCGGGGGACAGAGTAGGACCAACCACCCCAGCTGCAAGCAGCGCCCCTGCTTAAGGCAGGCACCTTGCAGCAGCCCCTCATCTCCAAAAGGACTCTTCATCAGTGTTGGTCTTTCTGTGCTCCTTTTTCTTACTATAAAGTGGGCATCATATAAGTTTTTATTCTGTAGACATTAGTTATTAAGCACTTTAAGGCTGGATTGCTATTAAAATAACCATGACAACAGTATTCTCATAAAATGTGATAGAAATGTTGCCCCTCTCCTTGTGATAAACATAATTAAATCTACTCTTTCATCCCACCCACATGAGAATTTTGGTGTTTTGTTGTCATGGACCTTTTATTTCCGCAGTCCAGCTTCCTTGCCTGGGTTGCATTTATGTTGGTTTACTTTCATCTAATCTCTCAAACCCTGCAAAGCCCTGAGTCAGGAAACCACACCAAGAACAGGAGGGAAAAGCACGGCCTGTGGGCTGCTGCTGGGCCGCCACGGCCCCACCCACATGGGGAATGGGAGATAGCATACTTGAGTTTGTGCGTTCAGCAAACATTTCCCAGCACTGTGCTAGGGACAGAGGACATAGAGGTGAATAAGACATCAGTCTTGTTATGAGGAAATCATAGTGCATTAGGACAGAGAGAGGTACAAACAAATAATCATAGTTTATATAATTTTAGTAAGGACGGGCGCAGTAGCTTGGCCTATAATCCCAGCTACTCAGGATGCTAAGGCAGGAGGATTGCTTGTGACCAGGTGTTCAAGACATAGTTTCAATAAATACATATTGAACACCCATTTTGTGCTAGAAACTTGACTGGGTGCTGGGATATAGAAGTAAATCAGATGGGGCTCCTGTCCTGGGAAGCTCATAGACCCACGAGTAGATGAGTACAGGGCAATGTGATGAGAACTGTTAACAAAGAGGAAAAGAGAATGCTTTGGAAATATACAGCAGGTGCAACTAACTTAAGCTAGTGTCCAGCGGTAGCTAGGACAGTGAGGGAATGCATCCAGGAGGAGGTGATATTCAGCTGTGTCTTGAAGACTCAGTGTACCCTCTGAGGAAGAAGCAGCAGTGGGTGGGCTCAGTGACTTAGCCTGTAATTCCAGCACTTTGGGAGCCAAGGCGAGTAGACGGCCTGAACCATGGGTTTGAGACCAGCCCAGGCAACTTGGCAAGACCTCATCTCTACAATAAATAAAGTATTAGCTGGACGTGGTAGCACATGCCTGTAGTTCCGGCTAGTTGGAAGACTGAGGCTGATGGATCGCTAGAGCCCAACAGGTCAGTGCTGGGGTGGCCGTTAGTGGCACTCCATCCTGGGAGACAGAGTGAGACTCCAACTCAAAAAAAGAAAAGAAAAGAAAAGAAAGCAGTGAGGAGAGGCACATCACAGGTCAGGGACTTGTGTGTGCAAAGACAGAGACAAGACCTAGCATTGTGTTGTTGCTAGAGCCTGTGAGGTGAGGGCACCTGGCAAGAGACGTTGGCAGGGGCCATCTAGTGGAGGTCTTGTTTGCCCTGCAGTGGAGATACTTTGATAACTTGAAGCTCTGTGTGACACTGCATTTGCACTGGCCGTGATGGTGCTGGCACTAGATTCCTTGTTACTGAGCTAACCAACCCTCCAATCTCAGGAGCCCTCAGTACATTCATACGAACTTAGCTTTCCTACTTTGAATTATATTTAAGTGAATACCCAGGAAGTTTCAGATAGAGGAAAAGTGTTTTGCTTCCATCATTTACCATTAGAGAGTAACACAATGAACAAAAGTTCCTCAGTCATATACATTTTCTTGTTCTTTCAGTTAGTTTTCCTTATATTCACTGCCTCATCCCTTTGTTACAGTGAGGAAATGAATTTGTATACTAATAATGTCATCTTGGGTTTGAAATTAGTTGAAGCAAATAATTAATTGTTCAGAAATTCACTAATATGTTGAAGGTGTTTGATACCTGGACTCATTGTTTTTATTTTCTGCACTAGCACAAAGTGGAGGTTCTGTGATTGTAGAAAAGAGAGGGATATTTAAATTTAGGTTTTATGCATTTGAATATTTATACAGATTCTGTCTTTAGAAAAAAAAATACAGCCCTATAAAGGACCTGAACTTTATCATGAAAAAATTACGGGTAAATGACAAAGTGAGTATTTTCCCCACCATAGATGGGTGACTAATTATAGATTCAGCATCAACTGAACACTGACAGTCCTTTTCTTTGCTATCTAGAAAAGGTCAGTCAGCTATATCCACAAGTGGTTTCAGTATTAAATCTCCAAAGACCAATGGTCATTGACTCAACAAATGTTGGTTGGTCCTCTTCTTTGTCCCAGGCTCTGTGTCTAGGCCCCAAGGCCCCAGAAACAGATGACCTACAGCCCCTGCCATGGAGGAGCAAGGAGAGGTAGGGCAGGGGATAGGTAGGGCAGGGGTTTAAGTGCTGTGATCAAGGAGGCATAGAGGGCCCCTGGACCCATGGGGAATCAAGGAGAGTTTGTCAGGATTGCCAACCAGCCAGTTGTATGTTGGAGGAACTAAGATGAAGCAACCTTTAAAAGTCCCCCTCCACCCCCCAAAAAACCAACTGAACATAGCTGCCTGTTTTTTCTACATTTCAGTTGTCTGACTTTAGTGGACAAGTCTATTTTTTACTGTTTTCTTTTGAGACTGTTGAACTAGGGAGAGAAACAGTTTGATTCATTTTCCTTCCCAAATGCTACAAGAAAGAGCTATAGGCTTTATGAATGTTGAAGTTTTTTCCTGTGGCGTCCCATGTCAAGTTGGGGGAGAAATGTCTCAGAATGGGTGCTCACTGTTGCAAAGGACAGACATCCAAGACAAGATCAGAAGCTTGCATCTTTAGCTATAGGGTCTGATACCCTTTGGCACAAATGTCCCAGTGCCGACATTGGTAATGGCTGAGTGAGACACATCTGGTAATCATCAGGGAAAAGGACTTGTCTTTCTTGATGTTCATGGAGGATGAGTGAGGGAGAACTCTTTCTTTGGAAAAAGGATGTATTCAGCATCCTCTTTCATGTCCCTGGATCCAACCACTGATGACCAGTCCCTGCAGCAATTTTTATACAGTCCTTTGTAGAACTATATACAAGGGGGGATTCTCCCCCAAAACTGCATTATTTTTTAGAGAGCGGTCCCCTTGTAGTACAGGCTTCCCCCGCTAGGTAAGTGTTCTAGGAACTCATCAACATCAGTGTACTAGCTAGCATTGTTGTGAGAGGCTGTGTTTGGCTTCAGGGAGTTTTTTGGGGAGATGTGTTTTTAATTTTTAATTTTAAAGAGTGGGGTACAATTCAGAGTTAAGTATTAAATGTGCATTATGCGGGGTTTCTTTTGAGATTCTTTCAACGCAATTGCCCATTCATGATGAATGACTTATGAGTGTTCCTGCTCACACTGTGCTGAGTGTTCAGCAGTTTTTGACCAAAAACACAATGACCCCTGTGTCCCACTGTCCTTGTTCACTTGATCTCATCCCAAGTGACTTTTTGTTGTTGTTGTTTCCCTGGATGAAAAATTCCTCAAAGGGCAATGTTTTGCCGATATGGAAGAGGTGAAACAAAAAATGGCAGAAGCACCAAGAGGCATCAAAATCGACAAGTTCAGAAACTGTTTTGAGTAGTGGGAAAAGCATCTCAATAGATGTGTTGCATCAAACAGGCAGTACTTTGAAGATGACTGAGATTTAAACATATGAGAATAAATACACAATTTTTATAACTAAATTCTGGGTTTTTCGAGGTCCCCCTCAATAGTAGCAATTTAGTGCTTGCATGAGATTTACACATCTCTTGGTTATTAAACCAAATGCTGCAATCAGTAATGCAGCAATGCTATCCCAGTCTTCATAAGTTGTTTCCAGTCTGCTTTGCAGGACACAAGAAGAACATGCCAGGTGAGCACCTGGGCGCAGCTAGGCAGTGAGGTCCAGATGCTCTCAAGAGTCCAAGTATTGAAACTAAACAGAGCAAATCCTTCAAAGGCCTTCTAGCTTCATCTTTATAATACTGAATGAGGGAAATTCCATGGTGACTCCTAGGAAACAATTCTATTTATAACTGGGCTCCCATTAAACAAGATGATTTTCCTGTCTGATTATAACCTGACATCTTTGTGACTGATTCTTTGGTGTTCCTCTTATTCTTTCTCTAGTCATTCAATAACATAATTATCCAACAAAGGAGTGTATGTGTTTGTGTGTGTGTGTGTGTGTGTGTGTGTGTGTCTGCCTGCCTGTGTGTGTCTGCCTGCCTGCCTGTGTGTGTGTGCGCTTATGTTCATAAACTTCAGTTTTAGCTATTGTGAGCCTTCACTTCCTCATTCATTCATTCATTCAACAAATACTGAGTAAGTACCTCTGGATGCCAGTTGCTGGACATCATATGCACATGCTGGGTATATGTGTGCATATGCACGTGTTATATCTCTTTAATTGATTTGTACTTTGTATGCATATTCATAGAATATATCCTCAAGAAAAACTTGTTAGTCGATCTGAGTTTTCAGTGATTCTGTACCCCTGCCCCTCTACTCCTTTTCTGGCAATGCTCACATGAAGTTATAAAACAGGAAAGCATGTTCGCAGTTTCCTTCATTCTGACTCCAGTTCTGACCCAGTGGGTGGTGTATGCTATCCGAAACCTTACAGAAGACAATAGTCAAAACCAAGATCTGATTGCACAGATGGAGGACCAGGGGCTGGCAGACCCATCCCTACTTAAAAAAATGGGTTTTGAAGTTGAAAAGAGGGGTGAAAAGCTGATTCTGAAATCTACTAGTGACACACCTCAGCCAGTAAGTATCCTCAGGTGAGCTATCCTTCCCTCTCAGTTTGTGAAAAGATGTTCCTACTCCCCATTACTTTGGGCATGATGAGGATTTTGTAAGAACAAGGATGGGAGAATTTTTCCCCCTAAAATGATTACCAAAGAAAACCCTAAATATAGTTGCAAACAAATTTTTGGTAAGACTTTATGCTGCCATTTCCTTCAAAGAGATGGCATTTCAAACTCACTCTGGCAGAGAAATATAAAAAGCATATCAAAATTTGTATATGCTCTAAAAATAAGTAGCTCACAGGAATTAGATTTTCTTTAAAGGATAGTGCTCACTATAATTAAAAGTAAAAACAAAATAGAAAAATTCTTGTATAAAATTGATTGACTTGTTTCAGGTTTCTCTAATTTATTTGTGATTTGACCAAAGCTCTGAAGTCGTCATCGCACCCCCCTGCCCC